CATGCCAGATTTAAAAGCAATGGGATTTGAATCGGTGAGGAAACTTAATTTATCTCACAACGCCATTTCTGAAATTTCTCTGGGCAGATTATCCAACACACTACAGGTGCGTAAATTTATCTTTTATACAGAATATTTGATTGATAAGAAAGAATTAAAAAATCTAGTAAAGGTATTCATAAGAATAGATTTAAAAAATTAATAAAATGCGCGGGTCAATCTTAATTTTTTCAGATTGTCTTGTAAACTGATATCAATAAAATAAAGGAAATAAAGGGGAAAAAAAATAGGATTGAATTGCACTTCAGTTAAAATTTAACATCGAATTCTATTTCAGGTCTTGGAACTAAATAACAACAATTTGTCAAGAATACATCCTGACGTGTTAGAATTCCTGAAACAATCTACGAATTTAACTCGATTAACGTTACACGAAAAACCTTGGAAATGCGATTGCGAAGCTAATGATTTTCGAAGTTTCATTCAAACGAAATTAGTGAATCTAACCGATCTGTTTAAAGTGACATGTCCGGGAAGGAAAATTTCCGTATCGGTAATGACCATGGTTGATTTTTGCCCGTCGTACATGACAACGATTATGGTCATTTGTATAGTAATCTCTCTAGCGGGATTTCTTATCGGCATCTTTGGGCTACTCTATTACAAATACCAACAGCAAATTAAGGTGTGGCTTTTCGCGCATCAGTGGTGCTTATGGTTCGTAACGGAAGAAGAGTTAGATAAGGAAAAATTGTACGACGCATTCGTGAGCTACTCGCACAAGGACCACGATTTCGTCGTGGACGAACTGGTGCCCAAGTTGGAAAATGGTCCGACGCCGTTCAAGCTCTGCCTTCACTATCGGGATTTTCTACCGGGCGAATGGATCCCGGCGAATATCGCCAGCTCCGTAGAAAATTCCAGACGGACGATAGTGGTGCTGTCGCCGAACTTCCTGGAGAGCGTCTGGGGAAGGATGGAATTTCGTGCCGCCCACAGTCAAGCGTTGAGCGAAGGTCGAGCGCGAGTGATATTAATCTTGTACGGCGACATCGGCCATACCGACGATCTGGACTCAGAACTGAAGGCGTACTTAGACATGAACACGTATGTCAAATGGGGAGATCCCTGGTTTTGGGACAAATTGAGATACGCGCTGCCGCATCAGCCTAAACCCGCGAGAAACAGCATCGCCGGGAAGAAAATCTTCGAGAATCACCAACTGTACATTCAAACGAACGGAGAAAAGAAGGAGCTCATCTATCCGATTGGGCTTCCTGAGACTCCACCGA